ATGAGAAATAATATTTTTTAATAATCCCTTTTTCATTCGACATACTTTATCTTAATCAGGGTATTAATAAGAAACTAGCAGATAATGTAGCTTTTGTAATTATCCACCAATTTCTTAGAATTAAACACTATCTACTGATTTGCATCGAAGCGTTTCTTATGATAGTGATTTTAATCACTGTCAGATTAAATCTATACTGGACCCAACTATGCAACATCCCCACTATGCCGCGACCCCACTGTGCTGGGTTTTTTTTTAAAAATTATTTTTGATTAAAAAAAAAATTCAAAGTTCGTTTGAATTTTATCTCATTAAGAATCTATAACTTCAATAAATTTTAAGGACCTGTATCACTGTAATGTGCCCTTCATCTGATTTATTATTTCATCAATATTTTGATGATTGTATAAAATTTTATGTTTGAGAATATTTTGTTAAAGGTATAATAACTACTTAATAAAAGTTATCATTAGTGTTAATATTAAGAACAAAAAGAATATAACTTATAAGTATTGAATGATACAAGTATTTATTTTTTACTATAAACAAATAATTTTTAACTACTGTCTATATTAGCAATTTATACACAATATATTCTACAACGCACTTTTTTAATATATTGCAAAAAGCCAAAGATATAGTAGTGAATGATTAATTAATACTATAGTTAATTTCTAAATGTATGTATGTTATCTAAATACTTCTAACCTTGTAGAAAAACAAGTTCCAGCAATACATTCTGTTATGTTTTCTGTTTTGTCTTCGCTTACGTTTTGTTCCGTTTGTTTTTCTTTATTTAAAGATTCAGAAGTCACTATTTCATTTGAACTAAACATATTCTCTCGTAAAGAAAGAAACGTTTTTATTTTTAAATATTTCGATTTCTATGAAAAATATCTTTAAATGAATTGTAATTGTAAATGTCTTAGTTTCTTTAATGATAAAAATAAACAAAACATAGTTGCCATGAAACAATTCGACAGTAACTATAACGATGTTGATTATTTAATCAAAATAGTTGTTTTATGTATACTTTAACTGAACTATTGATTTTTTTAATAGATATATTACCTATATTTACTGTAAATAATTTGTACTCCACTAAATAAATTTAATGTTAGGGAAAATATATTTTGTAACAGTACTAGTAATAGAATGAAGTTAAATTGTTAACACAATATCAATAAACTTAGTCTTTTATAAATTAAAAAATATATATATTTATATGTACATATAATTACAATATTTAAATAAATAGACAGAATTTATTAATTAACAAGCAAAACTCAATATTTTTATTAACCAATGTATATTGGGCTCATTATACATCATAATATAGTATTTTATTTACTAATTAATTATAAAAATTGAGACTTTTTTTATATATTGGAAACAGAAACATAGATATTTTTTAATATTGTTTTTCAAATATTTTAACGTATTGATTATAATTTATCAGAAAATATATGTTTTTATTCATTTCCGTAACATGAGTTTCGTCAAAAATGACTTAAAGCTTGAATCAGGCCAAACCATATTAATTATACTATGTACTGTATTTTTTTTTATGTCTGTCGCCACTTTTTCTTAGCTCGTATCGGACCGATTTATTATAACAATACATCAAAAGATAACAAATCGTAACTAGTTTAGACAATAACCTTAAAAATTGAAAAAAATCCCACGTTCCCTGTAAATGGGAGAAATCTCCAAAAAAATTACTACGTTGATATTATTTTCTATTTTTCAGGCAAACTCACCAGACTATTTAGTGACTAATTCATTGTATCTTCATGCACTTTTGATCAATCTATCAAAAGCTGCTTATATTTAACAACTATACTTTATTAAGTTAGAAAATGGATTTTTTGTTAAAATCCAATTGCCGTGGAGTTAGTTGATACAAAGTGAATGCCATGTGTTAAAAAGCAAACAGGATATATATAGGTCAATGATTCGTGCTCACAGTTGATTTTGAGCTCATCTGCAACTAGATGATATAGCTAAAGTAGATGTTATCGTGTTGTGATTCATCTCATGAATAATTCGAATTGTATTTCAACGCGGATGGGTGAGTTATGAAGACGATACCGAGGGTTGACCTGAAGTAATATCCAATTTCAGTTTCAGGGTACTCTACAATTATTGGTTGAAGGAAATAAAAACCATCTATATTTATCATTTCGAAGATATTGAATATTAAGATATCAATATCTAAGATAAAGTTGGTGTAGACATAGAATATAGTTTTTACACATATTGGCTAAAAATAATATTTAAAAAAAAAATACATAATGTAAATACACTATTTATTAGATTTATATGTAATTATCATTAATGTTACCATATTTTTCATACAAATTTATAATAGATAGAAAATGTCTATTTCGACAATATCAAACAAAATTTTAGAGAAAGAATGTAGCATTATATCATTTCATCCTGTAAAAAATGATGACAACCAAAACATTGATGACTCGCCAAAAGTAAAACATATTTTAGACTTAATAGTTGATATATTATACTACTAATATTTTGTAAATAGATATGAAGGGGTGCGTGCATAAATGATACAACTCCAATTTTGACGCAAATGGGTTTTTAGCCGTTTCCAATTAAGAAAAATTTGATGAGTATATCTGTGTAAGAACGAGACAATCAGAGCACCGGTTTAGGAAATATAATGGAACTGGAGTTATCTGGTTTTTGCACTGAATGTTGTTTACACATAAAAAAAACAATTAAAATAATAAATACAAAGTTCGGGTCAAAAAACAAGATAGCTCCAAATATTTTAGGTTAATTTTAGCTCACATTTCAAATCAAAAACTTTAATCAAATCACGTCTTTTTCATCATCTAATATATATTAATTGATATTAACATTAGTTTTACCATAAACTCAATATTTTTAAAATAGTTTTTTTTGTTTCTTAAAAAGTTTAAAAAAATGGAGTTGTATCGTTTTTGCACAGACCCCTTCATATATTACTTGTATTTATACAAGTATCATCAAAGAATTATTTTGTGAATTTATATGTTGTTGATAATGTTTATACTATATTGGATACCAATCTATCTACATTCAATCATTTACAAACAATAGATCAGAAAAAATATGATTTACAGTTTTTTGAATCAAAATACTTGTCACAAACTTAATCATAGTATGCTAAATATGTATGAGGATCAGTTAATGAGGTAAAGGTTCAAAAATAGTTCGCTGATTTTTATGAATTATTGGAAGAAAATTTTAGATGTGTTAATATGTTCTGAGAATGTGTTTAATATAGATGAGGAGTGTTTTAATTTATTTTTTAAAGGATAACTTATATTAGACCAACGTTAAAATTTATATGATAAACAGAGTTTTTTATAATTTTTTTGTTAGACAGAAGAAAGCACCTTCACTATTTATAAAAATGTAAATGTTTAGTTCTTACTAGAAAGTGATCCGAGAATACATTGCTTTCCTTTATTAAATAGAAAAAAATGAAATTGTTAAGATTAATACGCAGTCAGGAAATTTTATAATTACTATTAACTGTAAATTTATCAGAAGCGATCAATTTTTTTTACATTTTTATCGTAATAGATCACTTAAATAAAAATCATAGTAATCATTTCTAATTAACTTTTGGTGTTAAAAAAGATTCTTTAATGGAAATATTCAGAATTTAATTAATATTAATGATTCTATATCTAAAAAAACCAATAAAAAAAAAGTTGTTAAAAAGATTTACTCAATTGAGCATATTATAAAATTTGATTATAATTGTAAAAATCCATAAATACAGGTGAAACTAAAAATCATTTTTTTTTTTTTAATTTATGATTTATATAGCACCATGTTGCAAAAAAATTTGGAATATTATATACTGGTAGTAGCACACACAAATAGAGTTAAAAAATGATTAAATTACAAAGTAAAATTATTTACTTTGTAATTTCGACAATAAATACTTTATTAGAAATTAATGATATNTAAATAATTTAAGAATATTAAAAATTAATGATTTTAATTGTTTGTATGGACAAATCTAGTTAAGCTACTTTTTATTTGAATAAGGAATATTTTTTTGATTTTTAAGAGTAATAACTTAAACTAATCATTAACTTAAATATAATAAACTTAAATGAATCATTTGACGTATCGTTGAAAAAAGTAGGTCTAGTGAGAGTTGGTANAGGGTTGGTAAAATAAATCGTAGCCACAAAAAGAACCACATAGTAAAATAATATTAACATGAATATAAATTTCTTCTTACGAAGGGAGACTACAGTGATAGGATCCTTTATATTTATTAAAGTTATTAAATCTAAATGAGATAAATATCAAATGATTCGAAAATTTTATTTTAACTCAAAAAAAAATGCAAAATATTAATAGCCACAGACGAATTTGAACCTAGTACCGTAATCATGAAAGACTCAAGTGTTACCAACTCGGCAACTGTTCCATGATTTCATCGCATAATAAAAGTGGCTATTTAAGCTAACTCAAATTTAAAAATTACTTTTTCGACTTTAAAAAAATAAAAAAAGTTTAATTTCTTATGTCTTATGAACTTTATTCTTTGTCAATTAAATTATAAAATATTCATGAAAGTCAGCGTATTGCCCTTATAAGATATTTTAAATTAAAATAAAATACAAAACCCAGGATTTTAACACAAAAATAGCATATTTTTGAATACGATAGCCATTTGCGTATAGAAGATAAGGTGTCGGGACAAATTTTTTTATTTTATTTTATAGTATAAGAAATAACCTTTGATTTAATATATGTTTAAAGGACGCAGTATTTCCGGAACATTTTCAAAATTAAAGTTGAAAAAGGTAGTTTTTGTAAAAAAGTTGCTATTTTAAATCCCCTCAGTAAGCAGGTTAAGTGTTAAATTTTCAAAAAAATGATATCAAATGAAAGGAAAATTTTTAAGGTTTTAGTGTAAAAAAAAATTATGTTGTTTTGTTAATTTTTAAAAAAGTTATGGAAGTTTTAAGAAAAAAAAGTGAAAAAAATTACAAAATTTACCGATTTTAAAATTTTTAATTTTTTTGAAGATTTCCCCTATTTGCGGAAAACGAGGGCAAATTTTTCAATTTTTAAGTGTAATGTCTTCAACTAGATACGAATTGTGATATTTTGACGTATTGTTGAAATAAATCGGTCCAGTGAGAGCTAAGAAAAAGTGGCAACAGACAAAAAAAGAAATAAATAAACACGTCATGGTAAAATTAATATCTTCTCAGCTTCGCATCGAAGCTAAAAACCATATCACGTGATATATTTATTTTTTTTTTTTGAGACTAGAGTACCGAGCAACAATTATTAAAACTTTGGTGCCAAATAAAAAATATATATTTTATCTTGTACAGGTCATCTATAACACATTTCCATATCAAAAATTGTTTTGTACTCTAAAGACTTCTGATAATTTTCAATTTCAAATTTTTTTATCAATTTTATAGTAAAACAAAAACACATAAGTTTGATGATTTTAATTTAATTACATAGTAGAATGTATAATATAGATTTGAATGCTTGATAATTATTTTTATTATTATTTTTTTTTTTTTACAACCGTTATGTTGGTTAATACCATTGGTATATCCTGGAAAAATTTAAGTGCAGTGGTTTCTCGTTGCCTTCTGCGCTGGGAACATGGTGCTTTTTCGATAACGCATGGTCACCCATCTGTTCACCTACGGCGGTAGGAGCGACTTAACACTAGTGTGACCACCGCGCTAGACCACGCCCTAATTTTACTATATGGTTGACAAATATTTTATTATCAGGTGAGAACAGTTAACTATCAAAATACATATAGATTATTATCAAAAAATCCATTTAACGAAACTAAGACATTAGAAGCTGTACAAGAAGAATTGGAGAAATATATAAAATGTGATACAAGATATGATCCTCAAAGAGCTGCAGGCATATGTGCTTCTTTATCACAAGCCGTAAGAGATCGTATTCAAGACATGAATTTCGACAGGTACATTTTTATCAATTAACATTAAAAAAGAATATTAACATTTCTAAATAAAAAAAATGTATATAGAGGGAATTTCCACAAAAAAATTAATTTTAAAAATCGGTAAATTTTGATATATATATTTTTTTTGTTAACTACACAAAGTAAAGTGTATTCTTTTAAATTCATAATTTCGATATTTTTTTCTACAAATTGCCCTAAACTTATGAAACATTAACAAATCAAAATAATTTTTTGATATTAAAACCTTAGGTATTATACTTTACCCTTTACCTGCTCGCGGGGGAATCAAAAAAGCAACTTTTTCAACTTAACTTTTGAAAATATTTTGGAAATACAAGTTAAAAAAAAATTTTCACGACACCTTATCTTATATGTGCAAATGGGCAGCAAAATTGAAGGAAAAATGTAATATTAGTGTCAAAAACACCTTCTATCATGATGTTATTTTTGTACATAATATAGTAACTACCATACAATTTTGAAAGACAAACCAAATAAATAATTTTTTTTTCCAATTGAAACCTTTGGTATATCCCTTTTATTTAATAATTTTTTTTTCAAAATTAGACCCTTTATTCCCCACGGAAGGATTCAAAATAGCAATTTTTTTACAAATGTCAATATTTCAACTTAATTTTAGAAATTTTCGGGAAAAACAGCGTTCTTTAAACTTGTTAAATTAAAACCTATGTTATGTACTATAAATTAAAAAAAAAATTTGTTCCTCCGATTTGTCTTTTATGTGCAAATGTCTGCCGTAGTTATAAAACATGCTATTTTTGTGTTCAAATATATATATTTTTTTATTTATTTTAAAAAACCTTACAAGAGTTTGCCAATAGTCTTTCAATTTTTATAATAGTTATTATTATTTTTTAATATTTAAAAAATAATCCGTGCAAAATTTTAATTTAAAATGTCATTTTTATCCTATTTTTTTGATCGTTTAAAGTTGAATTTTATGAGATATTACGTGATGAATACACTCGCGTGTGGAGTGTATTAAAATAATGTCGGAGTTAAGGATGGCATTGAGCCGTTTATTAATAATATTTAAAAAAACAGAATTGAAAAAAAAAGCAAAAGTTTATATAATTATATAAGTTTATACAACTCAATAACATGTAATTGTCCATGACCAAAATTCTGTAGTGCAGATGGACGACCGTGGTATTAAAGTGTTACAAAGATAACTGATAAGCGGTAGGTATTCGACGCTAGCCATTTGTTGGAATTAACACCACGATCATAACACGTGTGTATACTGGTCAACTGTTGTTTAAGAAATTCGTATTATGGCATGGTGGCCGTGAATCCCAAAAGTATTTATGTTTGCAGTCTGCCCTTTGTAGACATATCTTTGTCAATATTCTAATGTTATAAGCCTAGTCTGCGATACAATGATTATATAGGATATGATCACATTTATGTATAAGACAATTCAGATTAAATTAACACCCCCGATTGTCTCTTGACGGCTACGAACGTTCTGACTTCGTCCGTGGCATTCTCCGTCGAGCGTAACATGCGTGGGAGGGGGTCAATCGTGCCTGCCAACTAGCAAACTAACCGGTGGACATCCTCGACGTATAGGGGTACCTGAGTGTTGATAGAAGTGGTGTCGTTATTCATGCTGAAAAGTATTAAAAAATAATACAATATGTTAGTCTATAGTCCAACTGGTCTATCTCGATACAGCTATATGAGCTATAAAAAAAGAAATTTATTCTAGTTTTTCATAAATGATACATGAATTTCCTTGGTGAGGACGAGTTCGTTAAAAACCTCCCTTTAACAAGGCGTTCGGCTAGTCTTACACCACTTCGACTGCGCCTATTAAATTGTTATCAAGGACATGCCGCTCAGTTTCTACTCAGTCAGCTACTGCTCACTCTCGTTCTGTTTTTGCTTATGCGTTTTCCCGTCGTGTAAGCTTAAACACTCCTGTAGTTAAATACAGATTTATATTCTCTACGCGTATTTGCGTGTTTTTTTTTGCTTAGTTTGTGTTTTTCATTACTGAAATCTCTGATTTGCGAGATAAAGTAACTTCTCTAGAAAATAGAATACAAATACTTGAGTCTGGTCCATCTACTTCTAGACCACCCCCCTCTGTCACTGAAGTTTTACAAAAACTTGCTGAGCGTGATCGTTGTAAGACAAACATAATTGGCCATGGTGTTCATGAGTCAACTTCTTCAAATTCATCCATTCGAGTTGCGAGGATAAAAAATTTCTTACCACTATTTTTTGAAAAATACTTCCAGGTGTATATATTGATTTTAACGTAGTCAGGCTTGGTAAACCAAATCAATCTTGTCCACGTCCCGTGAAAATTATTCTCAGTATAGAGACAATACTTACGCTATTGTATTACAAGTGCTTTTCGTAAGGCGAAATTAACTACTTCTGAGTTTTACCCCCATCTAAAACTTGTTCGTGATAAAACACCATTTTCGAAAGCCAATTATAATCTCATAAATGACTTTCTCAACTCCTTTAATTGGGAAAAAACCTTCATGCTTTTAGATGCCGGATATTGCTATGAACACTTTTTATGATGCTATGCACACTTCTATCCTCCTTTATGTTCCTAAAATTACTGTTCGTCCCTCTACCTTCCCACCGTGGTTTACAACTGAACGAAAGAGACTAGTATCCTTAAAGCGTCAAGCACATTCTAAGTATAAGTTCTCCTTTTTACTAGCTGACTATCGTCATTTCTCTTTATGTCGAGCACGTTATAAATTTCTTTCCAAGAAATGTCATCGTGAGTTTCTTGTTCGCTCTGAAACCTTAAATTCAATCCACGTTCTTTTTGGAAATTTGTGCATAAGCATCGTTCTTCTTCATTTATTCCTAGCAATTTATCCTACGAAGGCTCTAGTAGTACAAACCCTATTGAAACAGTTAATCTCTTCTCCAAATACTTTTCTTATGTTTATACCCCGGTCTCTGTCACTCCCTCTCCTATTTGTCCTTCCCATTTTCAGTTTTCTCTTCCTCCCAGCGTACATGTGTCCGTAATTGAGTTACACAAATCATTTAAATCTCTCCGCAACATAAAATCTCTCGGTCCTGATGGCCTTCAGGGTGATTACTTATTTAAATTACGGCATGTAATTGTCAAGCCTCTCTCATTAATTTTTAATAAATCTCTTAGCACTGGAATTTTCCCCTCTGTTTTAAAACTTGGCTCTAATACTCCTATCTTTAAGTCTGGCGACCTTTCTCAAATTTTAAATTATCGTCCTATTACCATACTTTCTCATCTCTCCAAGTTATTTGAAACTGTTGTCTTAAATACTATTCGCCCTTCCTTAAACCACATACTAATACCTGAACAGCATGGTTTCTCTAACATGCAACCTAGTTTTAACCTCTTATATTTTTAAGTCATTCCGCCTTCATAGTCAGGTTGATGTGATTTACACCGATTTCGCTAAAACGTTTGATCGTGTGTTGATCACTCTTTACTAATAAGCACCTTAGACCATCTAGGTATCGGTGAACCTCTTCTTTCATGGCTTCGTTCCTATCTACTGGATCGATCCCAATTTGTTTCAGTCCACGGTGCTTATTCCGATGTCTTTTCTCCTCATCAGGTGTCCCCCAAAGTGCTGTTCCCTCTCCCCTCCTTTTTGCTTTATTTGTAAATTCTTCCACTTTAATTCTTTACCACGCCAAGCTACTAATTTTTGCCGATGATATGGAACTATGTTATCGCATTAATTCATTGTCCGATTGTCTTATTCTTCAATCAGATCTTGAATGTTTAGTTATGTGGGGCAAGTCCATAGGTTTTCCCTTAACATTAACAAATGTTCCTCAATGACTTTCACGCCAAAGTGACCCTATTTATTTTTCTTATTCAATCCATGATATCCCTCTAAAATTTGCTGGAAATTCTGTTCGTGACCTGGTTTTTACCCTTACTCGTACCATGTGCCCTATAAAACACATAGAAAAAATTTCTTGCAAAGCATTGAAAATCCTGGGTTTTGTTTTTCGCATAACCCAAGAGTCCACGTGGTTTCTCCTCTTAAATCATTATATTGTGGCCTAGTTCGTCCGATTCTTGAATATGGCTGTGTCCTATGGGACCCATCTACTTCTGGTGCCAGTGATATGTTAGAACGTGTACAGCGTATGTTCCTACGTTTCATTTCTTCCAAAATCTCTATTCAACATCCTCCTCATAATTATGTTCCTATTCTTCATTTCCTCAATCTCTTTACTCTTGCTGATCGAAGGCATTATTTAAACCTCTCATTTTTAACAGGTTTCCTCTCAGGTACTATTGATTCCCCAGATTTATTATCCCTCATAAACCTTAAAGTTCCTCCTCGCTATACTCGTTCAAATATTCCCTTCCTAAACCCCTATTCTTCTATAAACTATCTCCTCAATTCTCCTATAATCCGTTTGATGAGAAAAGTTAACACGGACCTCTCCTTTATAATGCCGTAGTTTAAGTTTGAGTTACTAGTTCAATATATTTTATAGTTACTCTTATATTTTATATGTTTGTCACTTTCAACTTAAATGATCTTTGTGTGTTTATTTAAAACTTTCTGTTATTAAATATTCTTTTGTAAAAAATTTTTTTTTTAATTGTTATGTACTAAAAATTTACAAATATTGTATTGGGCAAGTCCCGTTTAATAAATAAATAATTGCTATGTTAATTCAATATTACAATTAATTTAATATTATAAGTATAGAACCTTTTTCCCTTTAGGATATGGTACAAAATCCATGGTGTTCCAGTTTAGCTTTTGGGTTGTCTNTTATGTACTAAAAATTTACAAATATTGTATTGGGCAAGTCCCGTTTAATAAATAAATAATTGCTATGTTAATTCAATATTACTAAGTATAGAACCTTTTTCCCTTTAGGATATGGTACAAAATCCATGGTGTTCCAGTTTAGCTTTTGGGTTGTTTCGGCCTCATGGTAGACCCTTCTCGGGGTTCTTGTAAAGTTAGGCTAGTTGATATGAGTTTAGCTTATAAAATAGTTGCCCAAAAATTAAATTATTACAGATTCTAGCCTTGGCCTTTGAAGGTATAAGAGATAAGTTTAAGAAGTACCCGATAACTAAAAATATACATAAAATAATTTTGTTAACACTATTATTATTTTAAGAGAAACATATGATTAGCGTTAATATAATCATTTTCTATACCTATATTGAATAAATATGAAATAAAAATATTACTATCAAAGTAACCCCTCATAATTTATGTATGTTGAACGGTTTATTGTTACGATATTTGGATTTTGTTGAAAATTTGTTTAAACATAAAATTTTGCCACAAAAATAAATATAAAACTATTCGTGTTAATTTCAGATACAAAATTGTATGTGTTGTTGATATAGGAGAAAAGAAAGGCCAAGGAATTATTTCAATAGCTAGGTTTTTAAGGGATTTCAGCAAGGATAAATATTTATTTAGAAATTTTGAAAATCATTTTTTGTTTATCACTGTTATGGTTGGAGCATTTTATTTTGAATAAAAATTAATTCCACAGTTTACATTCTTTTAATAATTAATTAAAAAAGTATGCTACAAACTGTATAGTTTTTATGTTTCTAAATTTCATTTTTATGTATATTATTTATATGAATATAGTTAATTTTAAATAATGTAAATACAATGTATAAATCTATAGGAATTTTAACACCCAATACTAAAGCTGCATGAAACCATCCATTAAATTGGGTTCTTGGTGTCAGTTCAAAAAACTCTTTGTCCATTACTTCTAACTGAAGCCGTAAAAACAGGAAGTCGAAATAATTAACTGTTATTATTATTCAAGTGAAAATGCCGACACTAATGGGGATCAAATGCCATTGACTAATGAAATTTTTTGCATTTTTTCACTCTTATCTATTTGATTTATTAATATTAATTAATTTTTATTAATTTTCTTACATATTATTAATCTATATAGTTTGATCGGATATTTATAATGTACACTAACTGTAGCTTTAGCATACAACAGGTAAAATTTATAAGCAATTTATATTTTTACTTTCTTTTTTTATATTTAAATTTTTTCTATGTCATATGAACTAATACAATCATTCACAAGTGCCATTATTAGTGAGGAATGTATGAACGAGGTGTTTTTATGTTCATATAAAAAACAGATCACTGCTTATGATTTTGAAATTTGTTTGAATGATTTGTAATTATTCAAATTACTTTACTTCAACAGTTGAATAATTAGTAGGAATAAATTATAGATTGATTATTTTATGTGGAAGAGAGAAATCGTAAAGCGAATAAAAGATTGAAAAGTATACCAGGCGAGAGTATAACTACACAACATAGACTAATCAGAATGGAGGTGTGGTGTACCGGAGAGAGAATAGAAGGAATACGGGGAAAAATCAAAGATCCGGTGGTGAAAATTGAAAGAGGAAAATGAAAAAAAGTTTGTAAAGATGGTGTGGAATATCGAGTAGATTTATGTTATGATATGTGGAATAGATTTGCTAGTTGTGCAAAGAATACTGCAAAGGAGATTGTTGGTAAGAGTAGGAGTAGAATGCAAGGAAACCTGGTGGCGGGATAATGATGTTCAAAAAATCATAGGAAGTAAGAAAAAACAATTTAAAGTATGGCAGAATAACAAAAGGAAAGAAAATTGGATAGAGTATAATGCATGTGCAAAGAAACAGAGATTATAATGCTTAGATGGATGAGTAGAGTGACTAAAAAAGATAGAATAAGGAATGAATATAAGAGGGAGTATAGGTGTACTCCCTCTTATATGCTGGTAGATAAGATGAGAGAAAATAGACTTAGATGGTATGGTCATGTTATGAGGATAGAAGAATCAGAAGCTGTAAGAACAGTTATAGAAATGAATTTTGAAGGAAGAGGATGACCAAAAAAGAGATGGAGGGATGTTATTGAATGCGATATGAGGACAGCTGATATGAGCGTGGATGATGTGGGAGATCGCGTCAAGTTGAAGTTTATGTAAGTTATAAGGGTGGCTGACCCCAAGCAGTTGGGATTAAGGCGAAGAAAAAGAATTAGATCTTCAAAAGTGGACAAAAATTTTTCAAAAAATAATTGTTTTATGAGTTAAAAAGTGTTCAGATTGTTAAAGAACACCCTAATTGGTGCCCAAAGAATTAATTTTTATTCTCACCATAACTTAGGTAGTGTATTATTATTTTTAACTGACGAGAAGAGACTTCCTAACTTCCGCTGGCACTTATAACGATATCTCTACACAACTATTGATTACCTCTTTAAAGTCTTGTTTTATCTTCAGCTTTTCTAGCTTAACTGGTTTTATATTTAAGCTTTAGTCCATTTCATCCATTTTCTCTAAAAAATCTTTTTCTGTTCCTCAACCAGTGACTCTATTTCGATCTCTTTCATAGTCCTGATTTAATAATTCACATTGTTTCGTCCAGTAGGGTGTGTAACTTTGTCTATGTCACCTAAGTATCGATTTCTCGGCAGCTGACATAGTTTTCTTGTATAGGTTTAATTCGATTAATGCTTTATTTAACATATTTTGTATACATTGACTATTTAACTTTACGCAGGTTTCATTTAAGCATAATGGATTTATCTATGATCGGTGTTATGATTCCAACGTACACGACGACAGGTAAGTGCTGGCTTCTTGGGAAAGGACTCTGAATTTCTCGATAAACACTTAAAGGTAGGCTATATGATTTCTGAGACACAAAATAAAGTTTTGGAGATGTTTTCGTATCCCTCCTACCAGATATAAATGTAAGTCTCTGATTGGCATCATATATCAGTGTAAATAAGTTTATAGATATCAAATCTGAAAGTGTTTCATCATCCTCATTTTCAATAAAGTATTCCAATTCGGTATTGTGGGAGTTGAAATCTCTAATGTAAATAATGTATAAACATAGCCCTCCACCAGTTCAGTGTCCTGATAGAATTTCTTCTGGTTGATATACATTGCAAATCCATTTTTTTTTATGCCCAATGTAATATACCAAATCGAAACCAATAATCATAAGGGGGCTTGTTTCTCCTTCTTGTGATGTGAGTCTTTTGGACAGTTAGAACAACTACTTTGGAAAAATTTTTATTGAGAATGTCTGCCTTAGCTCGGGTTAAACCTTCGACATTTATTTGAGCTATTTTGATGTTGTTATTCCCAGTACTATAGTTTTTATAATCAAAATGTCATTAATTGTCATTCTTCTATTTTTCATTTTCTTATTTTTGATTTCAAAAATGACACGTGTTGAGCACGCCTGACACAGGGGTAGCCCTGAAAAAGTCTGTTTCCACCAAAAGGACTGTTAGCAGGTATATACAAGTGACACGTAGTTGTTTGGCTAAGATGACAATTGGCGATAGACTAGTCGTTGAATAAAATAAGTTAAGTTGCAATAATTGCAGATTCCTTATAAGATCATTTGGTATTTTGTAAAAAAAAAAAAATAGTTATAATTTATGTTGAGATTTTTATCAAATTAATACTACTCTTTAATTAAAACTACCAATTAAAAATTGCACCAAAGTTTTATTTATTAGTAAATTGTATTACACTTGAAGGTGTTAACATGATGAACTTTTATAATGCATTTTCTAAATATTTAGCAATAAATACCTTAATTTATTAATTCATTTAAATACAATAATACATAGAAATACTGCAGTTTAATTTATATAATAAATTTATACTTGCAGTTAAAAATTAATCTTACCACCAGAACCGTTAAACTTATAAACTGTTTAAGTAGAAACATTTTTTTTATAATTTGTAAAAATGTACAAATTATAAAAAAAAAATTATTCTTTTTACAATAACTACACATATAATCTACACGAAAAGTATGTATTAAATAGCATCAAAAATAAAATAATATTTAAATGCAGGATACTAGGCATCATCTATCCCGGACTTCGACCCAGAACTGGGGCCCTTCAAGTACACCAGCCTCTTTGAGTCGTTCTCATAAATAGGCTACTGATTCTAGTAGTGTACCCGGCTATGCCGGACACAATAAATGTTTTGCAAGAAAAATATTAGAAATTTATTATTTTGATATTATAAATATTACAATTTGTGTTACAAAAATGTATTTAAAATTTAATTGATAAAATCAGTAAAATTCAAAAAGAGAAAATAGTAAAATGTATGGGTATAAGGTTAAAGTTTGTTTACTGAAGTATTCACTTGGGGCATATTTAATTTTTTTTGGTTTGATAAACATGCTAATTTTTTTTGCTAAAAATCAAAGCGATGATCAAAAAATGTCATTAGAGCCATATTTATTTCATAGAAGTCAATCAAAAAAACTATTGTTAGTGCTGGTTGAAAGGAGGCAATCGCCCCATAACACCTTTAAATATGCCTCTGGCATACACAATGTTTAATTATAATAATTGTATTAATATTACAGAATAATTATAGAAAAATTCGGCAGGTTATTATTTTAGGTACTATGTAAAAAAGTCTATTTTGATAAGAATATAGGTTTCTATAATTTGACATTTTACAGCATAGTTGTCATAAATAAATCCCAATATTTGCAATAAACTCATAGATTTATACCTCGTATAAGAGATAAATAAAATTTTTAATAGACTGTACTACCCTGATAATGTATGTACAAACTTATATACTTATAACCGTGCTAAATTTATAGATAACTAATCAAACATTCATTAATAATATATACAAAATATATTGCTATGCGCTAATGCGAAATTGTATTTTAATATAAACTCAACGTGGACATAAAAAAAAGTTCAAAGCAATATAGAACAATAAATGTGATTAAATATATTAACAAATTTTATATTANCACTGACCACCGAGTGAGTGGTCAGGTCCCTTTTTATTAGAAATAATAATCAATTAACAATACTTCTAGTGTTATACTTTCTAATGCAATTAATAATAATCTATTATTTACTTTTACTTTCTAATAATAAAAATTCCTTAAAACTAATATTTACATATAGTTATGGGTTCATGACACCATCACCCTTAAAGAGAAATAATATCTTCAGATATTATTTCTTACAATTTTAAAATATATTATTTATTATATTTAATTAAAATACAGATAATTTTATGTTAAATTTTCTAATAACCTACGTCTAAATCTAGTATTATAAATAAATTGTTCTTGTCTATTTACAATTGGATTTTCTACTAAGTTTAAAGGTTCTAATTCTATTGTGGGTTGGTTATTAACGGGTTTTTTCTCACAATATTTTATATAAATATATACAATTATTACCACGAATAGTAATCCAANTATATACAATTACTACCACTAATAGTAATCCGAAGGTTTTAAAAAGTAAATTTATTATAAACTTATTATCGTTATAAAATTCGTAAACGTGTTTGTTTGCTAATAAGTCGACGATGCGTTCTTGGTAAGATAATTGTTCATTTAATTTATTAAGGAATGCCTGGTCAAGTTTCACATTTTCCATTCTTTTGAGGGGTATGGGTTTTTTTNGCTGCCTGGTCGAGTTTCACAT